GCGGCGTGTCACGTGACCCACTTCCTTGTCTATGCCAGGCTATTAAGGCTGATATAGCTAAGTGTTACGTTTTAACAAGAAAATGCTTTTTGTTTGTAAGATGAAGAACACATTTTGTTAGAAGTGCACAGAAAACTGATAAACATTTAGGTATAAAATACATATTGCTATAATATTTTTTTTTTTAACACTTAACTGGAAAGTGTCCTGTGATGAATTATTATTTAAAGAAAACTACTAAACTAGGTCATAGAAAAATACGTGATATTTTCATTTTAGTGTGGTGGTAACGTATAACATTTTTTTGCTAAAAAAAATCTCCGTCGAATTAATTGATGCGAATCTAAATTTGTCCTGATGTTTCGACATCGCATTCCACAAAATCAAAACATATTAATTGTTCATATTATAGGAATTTATGTGTAGTTCTCTACGCTTTTGCACATATGAACACTCTAATTTTTTTACTATTTGTTATAGATATGAGAAGGAGAAGAGTGCGCTGGTCGTGTCCGTGGTATCATGCCAGGGTCTGCCGGGCCGCGAGCCTGCCGGACCCGATCCTTACGTCAAGCTGCAACTGCTCCCCGACAAACAGCACAAGGTTAAGACAAGGTAATTACAGACTAACTTTTCACAAACTTTTTAAATTATAGAACTGTTATTGATTTAATAAATTTATTAGACTGTGGTAATCTGCTCAAATGCTAAAGTCTGCCTAAATGGCTGAACGGATCTCGATGAGTTTGTCATAGTCTTAGAGGAGTAATTTAAAGCAATTAGCCATGTGTTCTTCTAGACTATGCGTCTGGAAGAACATAGGCAACTCAATTTTGATTTCTATTTCAATTCCACTCGGTCGGAGTCGCGGGCGTGAGCTAGTAAAAATGTAAATAAGTTATCGTGTTCCAATTACAGAAGAATTGTATTGTTTATAAGTTCTAAATGTTAAATCTACTTTAAATGTGTTAAAGTAAGTGTAACTATTTGTGATTACAGGGTTGTCCGCAAGACTCGCTGCCCCGTGTACGACGAGGACTTTACGTTCTACGGCCTCGCACCGCACCAGCTCACCGCCATCACGCTGCACTTCGTCGTTCTTAGCTTTGACAGGTCAGTATTAACAATGACAAACCAGACTTATTTAGTTCTTATAAAAGTTATCAATTTAAAAAGTAATAGTCAGGGTTAGTTTCTATTTTTTACTTGTCTTCTGTATGTGAAACTGTTTTCAGATACTCCCGCGACGAGATAATCGGCGAGGTGGTGTCGCCGCTGTCGGGGCTGCAACTGCACAGCGGCGAGGCCATGGCGCTCTGCCGCGAGATACAGCCGCGAAGCCTCAAGGTACAACTGTCCTGTCACTATTTGGGACATCTTTAAACACATTCTATAATGAACTACTGTTTCTAACGATTAATATCATTTCCACTAGTGTGGCTGTGAGTCTTAGGAGAAATCTCAGTCCCGCTAATAATGACCTTATGAAAAATCATTTACGTTGCGATGTTTAAATGGATGGATGTTTGTTAGAGTTTGTAGCCTAAACTGCTGAACGGATCTCGATGAAATTTGGCATACAGGTACAG